CATTCAGAAATGAACTTGACAAAAAGTGAATGTGCAGTAGGGCCTTTCAAGGAGACCTGTTTAAAATGGGCCACACTGAGTTTACACCCCCGAAGCTTGGACATTCAGAAAGTACTCCAGATATCATCCGGGCAAATTAATTGATGTTGGATGATATGAAACCAAAACTTCAATGGAGAAAAGCATGAACAAGTGGAATAGATGATCTTGCCACATCTAAAATTAATTTGCTTTCATTTCCAGGCTCTGACACCAGCAGAGTTCTTCCTCAAAATGATAAACTCATAGAACATTCTGGGTGATGGCATGTAAATGAGTAAGATCGCTATGTTCCCTGGTTTTGATTCTGGGAAACCATTCATATGGCAAGAAATATGCCAGGGAAGAATATATTCCATTCTTAATCTGGTTGTTTTCAGACTTCTCTGCTTGAGGACATTTTGTCATTATGCTAGTTTTCAAGTGTTTCTCTGTTTCGTGTCTGGTAGCTCAGATTCTTTTTTTCCTGTCGTGCTCCATTTTCAGCATTGCAGGCCAGTGTGATACCTTTATCCTCTCGTTTTAGATCCTGCAGCATCTGTCACACGTCTAAATGTGTCTGGCTTAATACAGGTGTTTCACTCGAAGAAAACCTAATAAAGAATTCAAAGTCAAAGTCACAGAGAAGGACTCAGCATGATCGATATCCTTCATAATTATCGTGGAAGCGTTTGAGCTCTTGCTCCTCAGCATATGTCATCAGTTTTGACTCAAATAAACTCTTACTAATTTTTTAAAAAATAGTTGTCTCAGTACTTTTTACATTTTTAATTTATATCAGTAATCTTATTTTAAAACATATCAGTGTGCCACTGATGGGAATGGAAAAAAACCAAAAACTGGTCCATCACCCACAGATAGTTTGAGAAGCAATGAAATAAACAGCATTAAAAAACAAATTCTATTCATGAAAAGATACACAAAGGATTAAAAAAAGCAACAGAATGGAGAAAAATAGGTTTGCAGCAATTATAAAGGGAGTTATATGCATCCATTGAAATAAAAATGGGCAAAAAACGTGAACTGACACTTTACATGGGAAATCTTAATTAATGCTCAGTGAGTGCTCAACTTCAGTTTCCCCCAGGAAAAGAATAGTAAAACCACAATGACAGCCACAGAGCCACCAGATGCCCCGAAACTAGGACGTCTCAGAATTCCCGGTGTTGGTGAGGACGCCGAGCAGCAGGCGCTCCAGTGGGAGCGCAAACCAGTGAAAGCCTTTGGAACACGCTTTGGCCGCATCCACTAAAGCTGAACATAAAGCTGGACCCGTGAACAGTAATCCCACCCTGGGGTTACCTCGTTGGCCTAGGAACCAACGAGAACATGTGCACAAACCCAGTAATGACAGCAGCATGAGGTATGATGGTTGCAAAGTGAAAACAAGCCAAATGACCACCAGCCGCGCCCTAGATAAATAGATGGTGTGCTGTTCCCACTGGAACAGTAAAGCAAAGAACGCCATCCAGACACAGCTTCCGGCAAAGACACTGACAAAGCTCACCAAACGCCACCCTCCGTCCACCTGGAACCTGCAAGACATGTCAGGGTCAGACTCTCCTGTAAATTCAGTGATGTCCTAATGCCAGAGTTATTCCTGTCTGCAGAGCCTGCACCGGATGGGTGCCCAAACATCGTGGAGGTGGGAGAAAGCACCTGAGAGGGTCTTGGGTGAGAGGGTCCCGGGCTCCCCCTGGGATCGCTGGGTTGTTGCTATCACTGCTCTGAAGCGCATTTGGCCCTCAGCAAGCTGGTTCTTGAACCACAGGTGCTTGTTCAGGTTGAGTCATACAGCCCTCTTCATAGGCTCTTCATAGGCTGAGTACCTGCCCTTTTCAAAGTGTTCCCCTAGTTCCTTTTGCTGCTTTGGCTATGGCCCCAGCATTCTCGGTGCCACCTCCTGGGGGCCTGGGGAAGGTGTCGGACCCATCAGATTCTTAGGCTCTTACATCCTTCATCTCTCCTTTCACTCCCCTTGATCTCAGTTCATTTGAAAGTGGTTCTTCCCCCATAGGATTTTTAGCCATATACCCATTGTCAAAACAAGGTCCCCCAGAAGCATTGGTGAATGAGACAGTCACGGCCCTGGGCTCTGCAGACATGGTGCAGATTAATACCTGGGTTGAAGACGCACAGTGAAAGTGTTAAGACATGGAATGAATGTGCAGATTACTGAGGACCTTGCTTTCCCTCCAGAAAATAGCTAGCTGCCTTTTTCCCTTTCCAGCTACAGGCCCCTGCAGCCCCTTAACCATGTCCTTTAGCCAGCCCCCGACAAAGATTTCATTTAAAAATTTGCCTAATTTCTCCAATAGCCCCTGTGGCTTTTTCCCTCTAGGACCCCTCAGAGTTGACGCCCAATCGGCCCCCGCCACCCCACCTCACCCCCTGTCAGCATCCAGGTAGAACAAGCCCCAGCCCCAGCTTCTGGAAGGAGCCAAGTCACGACTCAGCTCGGCCCTGTGGTGGCTTCACATTAAAGTGGCTATATAATTATAGTGGTTAATTGTATTTCTTTTTTTTAAATTAGTCAATCTAACGTAAAAATATAAAATAGGTAAAACATGTACATTGTACACATTTCAAAAGGTAAAAAGGGGGTTACCTGTGAAGAAAGAGCCTGCCTCTCTCATCCCCGTCTCCAGCCTCCCCATCCCCTTCTCCAGAGGCAACACTGTCCCCAGTTTCTGCCAGAGACTATCTGTGCATCTGTAAGATTGCGTGTGTAGTAAGCCATGCTCTTTTTGAAGTCTTCAAACAATAGCCCACTACACACAGTGTTTTTCACTTGGTATTTCTTGGCAATTGCACATTCGGCTCCGCCTTGTTAAAAGCTTCATACTCCTCCACTCTGCAGAGGTGCCCACTGCAGACGGAGTGGACACGGAGTGTCTCCTAATGTTTGTCTGTTACAAATGAGGCTGCTGTGAATAAGAACCTCTGTGTTTCCATGTCCTTCTCCAGACCGGCTTTCCTTGAGTAGTTCTTAAAATGTTTAACTTTTTATTTCAAGGAAAGAAGATGTGGGAAGGGAGGGGTCTTCTGTCTACCACCATGTCACCTTGGGGGGCCACTTACCACATGGAGGTGAGATGGGTAAACTCCCATGATGAAATGCAATAATGCATTGGTCAAGGTGTTTTAAGACGTTGAGAATATTATACAGATATAACAAGGTGTGACTCTAAACTGATGGAGCAGATTCTACTGGGAGTATGTACAAGAACCAGCCACGTTGCTTGATGTCTGGATAGAAGGTGCCTAGAAGATTGAGAACACCCAATTTACACTGACTCAGGGAAAAACTGGAAATTCACTGTCTCGTGTAGAAGTCATGGGATAGGAGGCTGGCTTAGGCACTACTAGATTCAAATGCTCAAATGATGTCACCGGGACTCAATTTCTCTACCTTGGCCCCGTCTTCTGATGTACAGTAGTCCCCCCTTATCTGCGGGCAGTAAGTTCCAAGACCCCCTAGTGGATGCCTGAAACCATGGATACTACTGAACCCCATATATACTGTTTTTTTCCTACACATGCATACCTATGGTCAAGTTTAATTTATGAATTAGGCACAGTAAGAGATTAACAACAATAGTAAACTAAAACAGTTCTAACAATGCAGTGTAACAAAAGTTACATGAATGTAGTCTCCCTCTGTCTGATAACGAAGATGGCTACTAAGTGACTCCTGGGTGGGGATCTGTACAATGTGGATCCGCTGGACAAGGGATGAGTCACGTCCCGGGCTGGACGGAGTGGGACAGCACAGTATTTCATCATGTTACCCAGAATGGCTAGCCATTTAAAACTTAAGAATTATTTATTGCTGGAGTTTTTCATTTAATATTTTCAGACCATGGTTGACTGAGAGTAATTGAAACCTTGGAAAACAAACACGTGGATGGGGGTGTGGGCACAGTATTGGCTTCATTCTCATCAGGCTCCCCGTTGTGAGGACAACTTGTCCATAGCAGCCCAATCTCCATGTCCCCTCAGGCTTTCGTACAGCAGGAAAGGGAAAGAATCTTCTTCCCTAGTAGCCGAAACCAAAGTGCCCAAATGAGCCTCCTTGGCCCTGATTGGCCAGTCTTTGGTCAGGTGGCCACCCCTGAAGCAGCCAGAGAATATGGTCCTTTGCTTGTCCCAGCCTTTTCTGAGACTGGAATCCTGTGGACTGAGAGGAAAAGAGTAGATTTCTGAGCATAAAGCCAGTGCTTGGCTGGCACTATGTGAAATGGACATTGGACCATCAAGAAGGCGCAGATTTTCAGTACATTTGGGGACTTGCTGTTCATGAATTTTGAAATTCTGTCATCTCCAAATTCTAGCTCAGACAGCTGAGCTCCCTTTAAGGAATATCTCTGCGTTCTGTTTTAGAGGATGGCAGAAACAAGCAACTCGATGCATGTTTATGGCCAAGAGAAATGTCTATATATTGAAATGGCCTTTAAAATGGTTTCTTTCTTCATGAGACAGAAGAAAACTCTCCTTCCTGTCACGTGAAGAGGTTTGCCCTCCAAAGGGCTGGAAAAGGAATTTAGTTCTTCATCAGCGTAGCAGGGAAAGCAGACACATGAAGCCTGTGCGTCCTTCCTCCTACAACTGAGAGGAGAGCAGGTACAGGAAACTCCTCCATACTGGTGAGGACAGCCCAACCAGGGCAGAGAGGAAAAAAGCAGCCTTTGTTTTTAAATCCAACAGGTGATTGCTTTCAAGATAAGCTCAGCCATGCTTTTACTGTCACAAAGGGAAAGTAGAGGAGGTCCCCAAATAAGGAGCACCCCCAACTTTATTTAAGGTTTGAAAGAGCCAATTATGGGATGCAAATGACCCAAAATTTTCCTAGGAAGTTAACGCTGAAATAAACGATGAATGTGTTCATTCTTTAGTTATTTCCTCAGTCTATGCATCTGTTTCAAGTCGTTTCTGCATCTTTCATCTGATTATTTTCCCAGCACCACCCCACCCTCAAATCTTCCTGTCATCGGAGCTTGCCAGTCTCACTGAACACAGGGGACCCGGTGGCGCTCGCAACCAGGGGACAGGCCCTCCTGAGCTGAGGATGGCTACTCAGGGCCCTTTCTCCATCTCACCTCTCAGGTAAGTCAGCAGTTACCATCCTGCCCTCCACTCTGCTTTTGGAGAGAGTGAGGGTGACTCTGGAGACAGGTGAGCCCAGCAGGCAAACTGGCGGGCGCCATAAGGGGCTCTGGTAGAGAAGAGCCGCTCTGACAGCCTCAGAGAGGAGACAGGACCAGAGGGGCTATCGACTCTTTTCCTGGCTTATGGTAAAGCAGTTCCCAACTCCTTTCTCCTCGTGTTTTGTCTCCAGGCAACCAGTTCCCCTACAATCAAGTACCCAAAACTGTGTCGACCCTCAGATTTTGCTTTGTTTGATCAGTAACAAGTTTTAACATATTTCAGATTTAAATACCTTGTGGGTACAGTATGTATATCCTTTCATTTTCTACAGTCCCCACCACTCCCAATTGCTTTCACAGGCCTGCTCCATTATATCTGATCTGACTCTGATCTTCTGCTGGTAGGTGACATATTAACCCTTTCACTTTTATCACCTTAATCCTCTCCTTTCTTTCTCCTTCTCTGAAGTCAACAGCCTCAAGGAATGAGTGTCAGTCTTGAGTGCCTGCCCCCGCCCATGCCTCCACTGCTTCACTGGCCCCACTGGGCCCCACTCTTCACATCTGCCTTTCATGTCCTCAAATCATCCCCCTCCCAGAGCCTGCACACATTCTGGCCCCTCTTCCTGCCATGCCCTCTGTCTCCTCCTGGTTAATTCACACTCAGCCTCCAGATCTCCACCCAAATGTCACTTTCTCAAGAAAACCCTTCCTGAGGCCCAGGCCAGGCTGGGTCCCTCACATGCTCAGAACACCCTGCACTTCTGCTTCACAGCACTTACCGCAATTGTCTTACAATAATTACCTGTGAAATGAACTATTAGCTGACATTTTCCTTCCCTCCTCCCCCACTCCTGACCGCCACCATCTCCTAGACATGAGCTCAGGGAGGGCAGTTACTCTGTTTGCCTGGTTCATAGTTGTATCTGCAACTCTTGGGACAATTTGAGTGCTCGTTACATATTGATGAGTGTGTGAGTGAGTGAGTGAGTGAGAACGAAAGGATGGTCAGGATGTCATCAGACTGAGATGGCAGGGAGGAGAATTTCAGGACAAGACAGGATGAACAGAGGTCCCAAGACAGCGCAGCATGGAGCATATGACCGTACCATGAGAAGTCTAGTTCATTCATAAATTCCAGCCTTTGTGAATGAGCTGGACTTCCCGAAGGCACCTCAGTGAGCAGGAGGCTGTCCCTCTGTCATTCTTTCCCTCACCACTGCGCCCGAAGTGCCCGCCATGTGTAGGCAGGAGAGAGTCACCCAGCTTCTGTGGGCCCTTTGACTTGTCCCCAGAAAGTCCCCTTTTGCACTCCTTCTAGTAAGTTTTCCTCAACGTCCCCCATCTATTTAAACTCCTTATTTCATTTCCTCTTGAAATAAAAACCATTTGCTAAAATCTTCCTCCATTTCTCTTTTTTCCATCTGAACTCTAGCCCTCAGCAGCACTTTACATTTAGTGGAGAAGGGAGAACAGTCTTCTCAGGACGAGTTTTTCTAAATGTTTGTGGTTTTACCTGAATTGTTTTTGTTTGAGGTTTAAAGGGATCCATTGACTTTTCTGACCCATTCAGGAACTTTGCTATTTTTAAATACAAGAGGGATGTGCCAAGTAATAGCAAATCAAAACCACCTCCACTGGTGAAAATTACCTTCAAGAAGGACAGACCATGGAGCGTTTGAGATCTTGTTCCTCGCCATATGGCGTCAGTTTGGCTAAAATAAACTCATAAAAATTTCAAAACAACAACAAAAAAGGACAGACCACCTTTCAGAGGGCTGGTGAAGTAATGGAGAGGAGGGTCTGGGTGCAGGAGTTTGGGTGCTGAGCCAGCTCTGACCACAGCCCCTGGCAGGTGGTCCTGCACAGCACTGGCCTTCTCGGCACGACAAGGGAGTTGGTCAGGGACTGGGTCTCAAGCCTCTCTCTAACTCTTATGACTCACCTGGGTCTCCGAGGTCAAGGTTAGTGGATGTCACTCTTTCCCCCTTCACAGAAGCCCAGGAAAGTCCCAGAGCATAGGTCACCATGCGGCAGCCTTGGCAGGCTGCCTGTGTCCTTAGATAATCATCATGCCTGTCTGCGGAGGGGGCGCATTGTGAGTCCCAATTTACAGGAATGGAAGGAGATTAGAGAAGTGGCTCTTTCTGTGTTCTGTGAAGAGTAGGACTCTCACTTCCACCCGCTGGGGCTGTTGACTCAGAAGTGGGCCTCATGATTGGTGTTATGGGTTGCATGTTTGTGTCTCTCCCAAATGCATGTTGAAATCCTAACCCCAAATGTTATGATTTTAGGAGATGGGGATTTTGCGAAGTAATTAAGTCATGAGGGTGGGGCCCTCATGAGTGGAATTAGTGCCCTTATAAAAGAGGCCCCGGAGAACTAGCTCACCCTCTTTCTGCATGTGAGGACACAAGGGGAAGATGAGCTGGAAGAGGGTCCTCACCAGGACCCAACCCTGCTGGCACCCTGATCTCAGACTTCCAGCCTCCAGAACTGTGAGAAATACATGCATGTTGTTTAAGTCACCCAGGCTACAGTAATTTGTTACAGCAGCCAGTTGGGTTGACAGAAGGGTTCTCTGCATACGTGGAGGTCTCTCCATAGTCCCTTTAGGGAGACATTCTTTTCCCTTCTTCCAGCTCTTGCCACCACTGATGGGAATATGCTGGTGTCGTTTGGCGAGAAATGAGGAAAAGGCTTCCTCCCCTTCTGCACCCATATCCCAACTAGAGATGCATGCTTCTCACCAAAGGGAACACAGAAGTGAATCATCTGGTGTTCACCTTCCCGTGGGGAATACATTATAGTAGAACAGAAGAAATTCCTGGAAGATCGCTGACTCAGGGACACTTATGGCCTGGACAGTTAATGATAAAGCACCGGGTTAATGCATCCCAGGACCAGACAACTATAATCCACGCACCCGGAAAGGCCCCTGGAAACAATGGAGCCACTCAAAGGAGCTTGGAGCTTGCCGAGGTTTCGGAGTTGCGAATGGGGAAGAGATGGTGGGTGGAGGAAGGCACAGGACAGGGCTCAGAACTCCATGTGCCAAGTAGTGTAAGCACCGCCCCCAAGTCAGGCTGCCATGCCTTATCTGTGAAATGCCACGAAGTTTACACTACAGGTTACAGTCCAGAAGACCCCCATCCAGACCCTTCCACTCTCCCTAAATGCCTTTCATTGGCCTTTCCCTGCTCAGGACATTTTATAAGTCTCTGGTTTTCTTAAAAAAAAAAAAAAAAATATATATATATATATATATATATATATATATATATATATATATATATATGACTTCCTCTCTAGGCCAGTGCTCAAGATGGAGCATTACATGGTGGAGTGTCCCCAGCCGTTTTCCACTTCTGCCCCCTGTAAGACATCTGGGGACAGTGAGACACAAGCATCCAAGCCCATGCATTCTTTTTCCTCTAGTTTTTGTTCTTTTTTTTTTCGAGGTCCATTTCTGGGTCATCTTCCTTCTTGAAGAAAGGTGAGCTCTGAGTCCCCCTGAGCTCTGCTATAGAAATGAAGTGCTGCAACCCAGTTCTGACCCACTTGATTACAAGCAGCATGAAGGCAAAGACTATTCCTGTGTTGTTCACCAATGTATAATACCTATCATCTAGGACAATAGCTGGCACATAGTAGGTGCTCAATAAACATATGCCGATTTAATGAATTCCATTTTTTATTATTTGTCTTGTTTCATGTATGCAGTTTGGTTGCCCCAAGTGGACTGCAAGCTCTTCAAAGCTTACCCCTGGTTTCATAACAGGTATTTGTAAAATTCTTGTCCATTAATTCAGGTGGCCATCAGAGCCCAGTGAGAGTAGTTCCTGTGTAGGGTTGGGTGAGGTTGAGTGTCTTTGCCAATGCTTTCACTAGAATGTAATTTGACAATACAGATCAAGAACCTTAAAGCCGTCCACTTCCCTCAACTTGGGAATAGTATTTCTATCAATCCATACTGAGGAAATTAACTGACATGTCATCAATATTAATAAAACAAGAGTGGCTGCAACTTAGTAAGTACTTATATATGCCAAACACCACTGCTGTCCACTTTACATATATCCTTTCATATGATCCTCCCCGTCATCCTAGGAGATAAGCACTATGATCCTCATTTTACAAACGGGAAAGCTGAAGTTCAGAAAAATGGATGAATTTTTACTACAATCACATCCCTGGTAAATGGAAGAGCCAGACTTTGACCTGGGACTATCCGCCTCCAAAGCCAATGCATTGTATGACTTTAACAGTGAAAAATCATGAGCAATCTAGATGTCTAGCAAGAGGAGACAAATTGAGTTAATTATGATATACCCACAATGTGGAATGTGATTAGCCACCAAAAATAATGTTTTTTGAAGGCTGTTCAATGACATAGTAAATACTTTAGATAAACAGTTACATGAAAATAATAAGTGACTGTAGTGGGTTGAATGGCCGCCCCTAAAAGATACGTTCATTTCTAAGTCCCTGGAGCCTGTGATGGAGACCTTATTTGGAAAGGTCTTTGCAGATGTAATTAAGTTAAGGATCTTGAGATAAGATCATCCTGGAATATGCAGGTGGGTTCTAAATCAAATGACAAGGCATCCTTAAAAGAGAGAGAAGAGGAAAAGACACAAAGAAGGCCATGTGAAGATGGCGGCAAAGATTGGAGTGACGTGGTTATAAGCCAAGGGATGCCAGCAACCATGAGAGGCTAGCAGAGGCAAGAAGCAGGTTCTTCCCTACAACCTTTGTAGGGAGTGCAGCCCTGCTGACACCTTGGCTTCAGACTTCTGACCTCCAGAACTGTGTGTGAGTACATTCCTGTTGCTTTAATCCAACAAGTTTATGGCAATTTGTTGCATCAGCCTCAGAAAACTAAGCCAGATTTCTAGCCATCTATGGCTTTAGAAACCTTACTCTTATGGAAATTCAGACCCACTGCCCTCTAACCCCAACCCACATCTCAAGTTGACAATCATTCTATAGATTCTGCCCCAGGAAATGATGCCCTTTCTCTCCTGGGCCTGTGTCCCTTGAGGTCTCTATCTGGCCAAGGAGATCAATACACATATAGACACACACCAATATGTCTGATATAAAAATCTATACTTAATACCACCACTGGGATGCAGTGCAGTCAACACTGACCAAGTGTCAAGCTTTGCCCTGGGCATGGGGGACGCCATGAAGACCCGCTTCTGTTGTACAGCGCTTTCCAGTTTGCAAGTCACATCCCCGTGCATTAATGTCCTTGATTTTCGCACCACCCTGTAAGGTAGGCAAGTAAGGCAAAACATTACATATATGTTTTGCAGGTGAATAAACTGAAGCTCCAGAGATATCAAGTGTCTTGATCAAAGTCATGCAGTCGGGCAGAGTTTAAACCTAGCATCCCTGCCTATTCTGTCCATGCTGCTACCAAACCCAGAGTTTTGGAAGTCCAGGGAGAGGAAAGTGAAACTTCACGGCATGGATCGAAGCAGGTGTCTTAGAAGAGGCAGAATTTGAGCAGTCTTATAAAATGGTAGCATCTCAATAGATCAGGGGTTGGCAAATCATGGCCTGGGGGCTAAATCTGGGCAGCCTCCTGTTTTTGTAAATAAAGCTTTATTAGAACACAACCTTGCTCATTCATTTTACACAGTCTATGGCTGTTTGCATGCTACAATAGGAGAGTTGGGTAGTTGTGACAGAAACTGTGTGACCTGTGAAGGCAAAAACATTTACTATTTGACCCTTAACAGAAAAAGCTTGCCGACGGCCGCCATAGATGGATGCATGTGTGGGGAGGAGCTTATGGGTGTGGACGGTGAATGCCTACAATATAAGGAAATCCACAGCTTCCAGTTAAAAGTAATATTCAATTCCTTGGAGTAACTATCTTTTCTAGTCTTACTAATAATAGCAAATACTTATATGGTCCCTATTATGTGCCAGGCAGTATTTTACACACAACTATTATTATTATTATTATTATTATTATTATTATTACCATCATCATCATCATCCCCATTTTATACATGAGGAAATAGAGACCGAGAGATCAAGTAGCATGCCCAAACTTGCACAGCCGGTGTTCAAAGCCAGCAGTACATGCCAGAGGCTGTGTGGAACCGCCTCCATCTGGCTTCTCACACCCTTAGGAATCCTGTGCCTTCATTCATTCATTCGACAAGAATGTAAGGAGCCCTGCTGCGATGCTCTGCTAAGAGCCAAGTGTTTCTGCTCAGGCATTTTCCTGGTAGCCCCACGCACCGTGCCCCTCACCTGGGAGCAGAAAACACTATTTGCAGAATGGTGACTCTCTTTTGATGCACTGGCCCTGGGAGGTTAAGGAAACTATGACAGAGTAAATGCAAAGGCTTTTCCGGAACAAGGACAAAGGGCTAAAGCCATGAAGCAATGATCAAAGACAGAGTCACCAGCTGAGTAAGGGAAGGAGGGAGGCTGTGGGGCCCTGTCATGATGCCCAGAGACTAGTCACCGGATTGTGAGGACATCTTACATCCACTGAGGCTGCAGGACTCTCTGGAAAGGCACATGATGAGTGGAGAGGATCAGTATGATGGGCAGAGTGAGCTCCAGCCCCATCAGCATCCATCAACATGGTTCAGGTCCCCAAATACCCAACGGTGCCTTATTTCTTAGCCTCCCCCCCCCTCTCTCT